TACTGTATTGACAGGTATAACTACAGAGACAGTAGTAGTGCTATCCAGTAGTTGAGTGGCTCTTGTTATTGGTGAAGCCATTAAAAACTTTTTTCTTTCCAGTTAGTTGCATACTTTGTTGCTTGAATGTGCTGAGGTGCGTGTGAAGAAAACTTAAATAGCTTGAAGAAGCCTGGCTCGTCTTGGTATGTCCTTCATGTCTACCTTGAGGAATAGCATAGAGCTCCATGAGTGGAGGAATGGGCAGGTGTAAGGAGGGAGGAGAGAACGTGTAAAACATCACTGCCTCTTCCTATTTGCCTTTGAGGAGGGCTCAGGACAGGAGGGCGTGTGCTGTGAGATGGAGAGAAAAAGAGCATCATGACTGGCTTGGAGACAGAGATTGGAATGGTAAAAGAGCAGCTATCCTCTGTTGCTGGCTGGTGCTGCTAATTTTCCAGCGCCAGCTACAGACTATTGCTTGCTACAGCGCGTAGCGTGTTCTGCTGTCTGCAGATCTCGAGGTTAGTCTCCCTGAACGCTCTCTGTTGCTTGCTCCTCCTAGGTCTGATAGCAGGCTCCTATGTCTGTACGTTCAAGTTGCCTAATCCATACTGAGTTGCAACAATAAATTTTCATGTTGAGCCAACTCCTGGGACATCCAGTCATGGAGGAAAAGCTGCTGTTTGAGTTAGTAATTGCCTCCAAATCATCCCTTTAGTCCGTCAAGCTTAAGGTGCTGGACCATTTTTTAATGGTCTGTTTGCCAGGTGAGTTTTGATTTAGTTTGAGTTTGGTTTTGTCTTGGTGTTTTGGTGACTGCAGCACCTCTCCTGTCCTTAACAATACAAGTCAGAAAACACGAGTCCTGTTAACAAACTTGATAGCTGCTGGAGGGAAAATACTAAGCAGGTAGTATAGTGGTTGTTTGCTCCTGCTCCAGCTTAAGCTTTAAATGGATTTGGGATAAGATGAGCTACGGCAATAATATCATTAATGAGCCTGACATCTTTGAAAGATAGATTCAGAACTGGACCTAAGTAGGAACCTTTTCCCAAGCTGCGAAAAGTCTGTGGCTCAGAAGTTTGACTGCAGTGTCCCTGAACTTGTTTCCTAAGCTTTTTTTTTTTTTAAAGCCAGCGCTCTAAACTTCCCTTACTTACTAAAGTCAATTCAGGTATTCAGGTATCCAGTGTCATTCATACCAACCTGCATACCGTTCCTGTCACCTCCCAACAGTGATGAAGATCATTCCCTGCGACTCAGACAATCTGCTTTCTGGGAGAGAGATGACTGCACGTTTCTCCGTTGACACACCTTGTTCTGCCTGTAGTGCCGGGTGAAAGAGTTGTGTGACAGGCTTGAAGTGGGAAGTAGCAGTGGGTAACTCTCCTTAGAAGCCATGGCTCATTTTTGTGTGTGTAGATGAATGCCATCATGGCCTTCTTCCTGCAGATGTGTCTTCTGTTATAGCAGGGTTATGAAGGAAACCTGGGCGTTCAAGGAACTCTTAGCTCAGCTCTGTCTCATTTTTGCTGCTGCTTGTCTCACACGACATGCCCACAGCAGCTTTCTCTAGGTAATTGTCAGACCTCCCAGCTTAGTCCTGGGCACTGCTGTTGCCGGTCCTGGTTCATGCTAACCAACTTTCTTGGGATGCCCTCTCCAAGCTGCCTTCAACTTTCTTTTCAGTTAAGATGTTTCTGCTCCCTTGGGGTTGCCTTGCGTACTGGTGTGTGGATAGCTGGAACAGCTCAAGGAGCCAACTTTCCTCCTGCTGGCAACTGTTCCCACCAAAGATATGGTGCCTGAGGATGGCTTATGCTACTGTGAGGCTATCTCTGCTGCCTGAAAAACTGCTGACCTGCCTCAGTGAGTTTATTGAGGGGCACTGCATCTGACTTTGGCTTACCTTCCTGTGGAGGTTTATGGAGTGCTGTGGTCCAGGAGCTGCTTTGCAGGTAACTGAGCCTTCCTTTAGGGAAATCTCAGCAAGAAGGAAGGGTTGGGGAGCTGGATGTCCAGAAATAGCTCTGTGTTGTGCTTGGACCTCCAGGAAAAGGGGTGAAGTGGGTGGGGGGAGCTGCTCCAGTTGCCATCTCATGTGGAGATAAGGGAGCTCAGGAGGTATTGACTGCACATCTGTGCATCACCTTGGGAGAGTGCTTTTGAGAAGGTTTCTGAGCAATGTCAACACTTTTAAAACTGCATCAAAATAAAGACAACTTCCATTACACTAAAGGTATTTTCGTTTGAGCACTTTTGTTGGGAAATTGTGATGAAACCACGTGAGCACTGATTACTTTGCTTGCTACTTCGTCATGTGAAAGCCTTTGTTGGTAAAACACTCGATGTACTTGGGAAGACATTCCTCTGGTGATGTGACCGTACAGCTCTGCCCCTAGAAGGGGCTCCGAGGAGCTTGCGTTGCTCTGTGGAGGTCCACATTTCTACAAGAAGGCACCATGCAGCCATTTGAGACAGGGGAGGCCTGACAGCTTGGAAACAGCAGCCCAGCTTCCTGGGTGATGGTTTTGAGGATGGGAGGCACAAATGCTCTTTTCAGTGAAGCTGCAGAAGAGGTCTGAAACCGCAGCACCACCTGCATGAGGTGTTCCTACTGGAGCAAAACTTCACAGGGCTCTGCAGGGATACAGGGGCCGTGGACATGGCTCATCTGCCACAGGAAAGTCCCTGCTATGCCTCAGTGATCCGCCAGAGAAAAGCACTGCTCAGTCCTTGGAACAGCTGCAGGTGTTCCCTGGTTAAACATGTTCTTCTCTCTCCTGGAATTCTTAAGCCACTAAAACCAGATATAAGTGGCAAGCTGGTAAGCGTGCTCCTGGCAAATTCGGATTTACCTGCTGTCTCGAAGGTTTGTAGCTGTCTGTGACAGCTGCCGTGTGGAGGTGCCTGTTACCACCTCTCACTGCCTTTACAAGCAGGATAGTGTTCTGCATATTGCCTTTTATTCTTGACTCAGTGTGCTTGGGCCACATTTCCATGTACCTCTCCCCTCCCAGTTCTGGGTGCCGAGATACGACTCTGCATGCCTCTCTGCTTTCTTCATTAATGCAGAGGTTGTAATTAAAGTACAGGTTTCTGATTAAAGCCTACTCTACTTCTGTGAAATAGCCATTCATTAACAGGTGCAGAGAATATGTTTCATTGTGTTGATATCCCAGGGTGATTGCACAGGTATCTTATCTAAGGTCACTTCTATTCCTTCTGAGGAAGTTATTAATTACCTTTGGGATTAATATTTCCAGAGGGTGGAAGCTGGGCAGGGTGGAAATAGGAAAAGAAGATAAATATGTGACATGATTTTTTTGATCTGGACTGTGTGGTCCAACCTGCATCCCTGTGCCCACAGATCTCCTGGGCTGCTTGTGTTCTCCCAAGGGCACCGTGGTACCCTGGCCTCCCCTGCTGAGCAGAGGAACCTTCGGGGCTGCCAATTCTGCACGTTTCCCCGAAGTGAGAGCAGGGAGAAAGGTGGAGAGGGCAGGAGAGAGGAAGGATGCTGTGGTCAGGGCAGTGTCAGCTGGCAATCCTGCGGGCGGCCAGCGGGAGACACTGCCGCTCTGCTGCTCGGCCTGGCGAGGCGGCTGCTGCTGCTGCTGCTTGGCTGCATCTTCTCAGCTTCCCTTCCCATCCAGGAGAAAGGCTCTGCCCACCTGTGTGCTTACTGTAGCTTCTTAGCTCAGCGTTCCATGCTTCCTCCCTAAAATAGACCATGCCAGTGATTTTAGACTGAAACAAGGGTCTGTGCCAAAAGAGATCAGGAGGCAGAAATAGGAACGGGGAGGTTGGAGACAAGGGTTTTGTGGTCACTTGTCACCTCTAACAGAGCTGAATTTGTGTCATTGCTCTGTCATCCAAACCCTTTATATAC